GTCTTATTTAAAAAAGTCCAAATATTCTATATTTTATTAGGTACTAGAAATCATAATATATCCGTTCAAAACCCGGATGTGCACTTAAAGATTTGGCTCTCTAGGTGCGTACTCCGTGCGTACTCTAGTCAGTGAAAATGTCCTAGAGCCGAGGAAATAGTTTGTTCTCTTGTGTCTATCTCAGAAACTTATCTACCTAAATGCCTATAGTTAAATCTAGGAAGTTCTGAAATCATCGCCAAGACTACTTTTAATTAAAATGTTATTGTCGCACTCGCTATACTTGATCAAGAACGCGGATCTGAAAAAACCCAAACGAACCGGGCTTTTCCGAATATTGTAATCCCCCTTATAACTCGGTATACCCGGACCGCGTTATTGGAAATCGCGTTGTTTCATAAACCGTTTTTTTGAACAATTGAAAAATTAGTTTAATTTTATAACAACACAATTGAAACAGATGCAAAGGTACGCAAAACTAATTATGGACTTGTCAAATCATTATAAATTTGACACTACAGAAATGAAATTACGCGTTATACTTAGGGTGAGATCTATAGTGCGCACTTGGACTTTGCTCAGACTTACCTTACGAAAAACTTTGCTTAGTGTACACTAAGGTTAAACTATGATTTCGTATTTATAGACATTTTAACGGTGAGATTAAGCTAAGCCCAAGCTAAGACAGAAAATGTCAAAATACAAATTGATGTTTCATTTCATGCAATACTTTGTTTATTATCCTTTAAAAAAGTTAACAATAACAAATATTTAAAAATCTAAAACGGTACACATATATCTTCAATTTATTGTTATTTATGTATTCATTTATTTTATTATTGCAATAACTAGAAATTCACGAGTAACCTTTAGAAAATGTATTAATTATTTAAAGATGACAATAATTTTATTACGTAGAACGGATCGCAATGTTTTGGTTAGGTTATAGTTTGAATTTCGTTGTCACTATAATATGCCAATTGCCAGGGCTGCCAGGTGACATACAAAATCACACCAGTTATTTTTAAGATTTCTCAAAAATGGGGTTTGAACAATTACATAAATAATATAAATAAACAACAATAAATACCATAATAATGTGTAATTATTTTATTTCATGCATTTCATAGGTATTTATCAAGATCATTTATAATTTCTTTGAATTCAAATTCTATTTTTCCCAAAGTCTATGGAACTCCGATACAAAATGGCAACACCGTTCATTAAAAACCGACAAAAATAAAAAGTCCAGTAAAAGATATGATGGTAAAGCAAATTTTGGGCCATTATTTTTGTTAGGCTTATAGTCAAAGTTTTTGGTAAGTCGTCGATTTCGTGGACTTGAGATTAAGCTAAGCCAACACTAGGGAGAGATTCGTAGTTTGCTCTATAAATACCGACTGTGTCTTAGCTCGATAGTTAAGTCAGAGCAAAGTCTAAGTGCGCACTATAGATCTCACCCTTATACTTAGAAGATTACTATGATAAAACGTTAAATAGAACAATATTCATAACGCCCTTAGGAAACTGGCTTTTAAAGACACACTGCATTAAATATATTTACATTATTATTAAAAAGCACTTCCAGGACTTTAAAAACCTCCTTTGTGGCGAAAAGACGGGAAAACTGTATGCTAAGTTGAAGAAAGCTTTGTTGCATGAAATAGGATTCTATTATGCACAGACTATAAAGCTAATGATATTGCCCGCCATTTCACGTACGTGCTGTCATTTGTCTATTGTCATTGCCATATTAAAATATTACGAGACTCGGGAACGGGAGTGTTCCCGGAGTGACGTTTTATTTCACGGTTTAATTCATATGACTTGGTTACCGTAGTTAATTTATCATTTATGAATAATATCGAATATTAGATGATGATAGTCTCTTGATGCTATTTTATTGCAATTTCTTTAATGTCTTGTCATTTATAAGTCATTTAATTTTTTAAGGCAATAATAGTACATGACAACAAAAATATTATTTCAAAATAAAAAATATATTTGTTTAGGGACAATTTGACAAAAAATTACTGCACTGCCCGGGAATCGAACCCGGGTCGCAAGAATGGGAATCTTGCATGATACCACTACACCAGCAGTGCGTGGAATAGTTGATTGAAAATAATGTACAGACACTTTAGTCCTTTTAGATATTTATTCAAGGAATAAAAAACATTTTTCCTTTAAATTTAGGTATTATAAAAAAATTATCGCAAAATGAAAACAATCTTATAGGCTTACAGGCAGCATATTTATAAATTAACTGCTTAATATCAACTTTATTAAATACATTATGCTCGTATTATACATACAATACCTAATACATCAATATTTGCGTATCTCCTTCACGTTGAAGGAAAAAGTTCTAGATGGAGCAATTTTTCTTAGTTCCTATAATATTCATCCATCTGTAGGCATCTGTGAAAACTGCATTCTTAGATACAGAACCTTATACCTAGTGCCTGGAACTCAACATAGTGCTTAACTTAGTAATCGGACCGACAGATGGAGTAAACAATGTAAATACAATATGTCAGAAAATAACTAAACGTATTCCTTATAAATTTATTAACAGAAATAAAAGTAAATACATCATTGAAATTCAAGCAATAGTTCTGAAATGATTACACTTAAATTGTTCTCGAATAATTTATTCATATAAATTTAGTTCATTTTCCTGTTCCTAGAGGCGCTTTCGTAGTTCCGCATGCGTAGTTGTTTTCCTGTTTTTTTTTCAATGCCCGTGAAATTCATGAATGGCGCTCGTTCACAGTCGATAGAACAATAATAAAATGTATATTATTTAAATGTCAGAAAATGTCAGAACAAATAGCTCATATTATCAAGAAAAAACCAATTAGATAGTGTTGTGAACTGAAGACGTTGGGTTTCCCGCTAAAATTTGACAATAAATAAATGTAAGTAATCTTTCTTTTTGCTTAATCTATAATATATATAAAAATTTTAAAGCTATTATATTATATGCTTAAAAAAGTAATAAGATAATTGTATTAAAAGAAAATATAGATTAAACATTTTCTAGCGGGACTTTTTCCTTGAAAACAAAACTGCGGTAATTTTATTGATTTGACACTTAGCTCAATTCAATGTTGTAAATCGTCACTATGCGAACTTTTTGTATTAATTTAAGGACGCTAATTCTTTATTAATTCATTTATTTCCAGATTATAGACGAATTAACGAATTCTTTATATTTATGATTATACTTACTCTTCACTTAAACCTATTTTGGTAGTATATAGGTATTAAAATTTTTCTGTACATAATAATCTAACTATATATAGCATATATTTAACGTGAGATTATGACGTGGTCTTTGATACGAATACGATATTCTTTTGCTATACATTTTCGAATATAATTTATAAGCAAAAACGTACGACCAGAAATTATTCAAATATTTATTGGGTATAAAAACAATAAGCAAATAATAATATCGCGTAAGTGAATATGACAGATTAAAATTAAAGCGGAAATGTTAAAGATTCATAATTTATGGTCAATTGTCAATGAAATCATTCGAAATTTAAATTATAATTTTATCTTTGGGTTACCGCATTGAAAAATTAGCTACCAATAGTTTAATAAACAATTAACGCCAGAAATAAAAGCATTTCACGATATTGCAATTTGTAGAAGATCGATACTGATAAGTCATAACTTAGGAAGGAATTTTATTGCTTTAAACAGTCGAGACTCGAGAATTGTCTAGGTTTTTAGGTCAAGTGTTCTGTCTGCCAAACAAATTTTATATGAAGACAAGCGTAATGTGGCGTAAGATGTTAAACTGTTACATACATTACATTTAAATAAAATATTGCTTTGTTTTCCTTAATTTATATGCATACTATGTTTACGGTTAAATTGAACATTTAGTGTTACTATATGCAGTGATTTAATAATTTATATTTTTTAAGTCTAACGGTAGGTTTCAATGTAGAGATTAAAGTTTTTTGTTTCATATTTATATGACTCCCGTATGCCAAATATATAGATTATGACACACGGGAGTTATAGTTCGCGCTAAGTCTCGTTTTTGGTACTCATTCTATGTATGATCACATGTAATAAAATGACAATAAGAAATAGATACTAGGTGTTTTTCGTATTTTTGTGAAAGCTTGAAATGTTAATATAGTTTTGATTATAAAAGGTCTACTGAGTCAAAACAGAATAAGACATTTAAATGTTCCGGTGTATATTTACTAACCAGCAATAGATAGAAATGTAATCATTAATGTAGATTGTATAATAATTATTTATTTATTACATATTATATATGCAACTGTCAAAGAACACACACGCAACTATTAATTACACATTAAGTTATGTTGTATATATATGTTAATTGTTTTTATTATGTTCATTATGTTAAAAGGCTGCAATTATTTTTTAAATATCTAATTACCCTGACAAGCCTATCCCAAAGCTATAATATATATAATAACCATTTCTTTACAATAAACAGTTTTGTTTTCTTCGTAGTTTTTAACTTGTATTGTTATTATTTCTAAAAAAAGTTTCTCCGTTCCTTAAATTTACAAATAAAACTTTAAAACTACATAATCTATCATCTATACATAGGACCCGAAAAAATAAAAGGCAATTCTAGTCTGTGGTCCCTCAATATCGTCCAAAAACCAAATCATAAAATGTATTAGGTGTATTCTAAAGAAATTTTCTTTCGCTCTAGTTCAAATTTTGTTTCCACATATCACTTTAAAAAGTCTGCGGTATTACAACTAAACGTAACTTTTTTATTATGTTGACAGCACTGTTTTGTATGTTCCACGATATTCAAACTTCACATGACGATCAATTAAATAAAAAATAGCGCATAACAGCTATCACCCCAGTTCTCATTCCAAACACTCTAACATAGAACATTTAGAATAACCCATCAGTGCTTAAAACGCCAACAAAAATCTTGCTTTATTTCTTTCTTTTTTGTGACATAAGCAAAAATTTACAGCACGATGTCAAGTAGCCCTTTTCCATATACCTGTGAACTATGCGGGGCAGAGGGCCTGACAGATGAGGGGATGCGTTCACATACATTGGAGGCCCACGTTGCTGGTAGACCAGATTGCCCCTTCTGTGACTGCACGGTACCACAGCCACAACTAGTGGGCCATGTGCAAAGAGTCCATCTCCACTATCTCACGCCAGAAAGAGAGCTAATGGCGTTCATAGATGATCAAAGTCCAGGGTTAGTTAGATAAATTTGATTATTGTCTGATTCATCCTTTAAAATCGACAGTTTTGTTAAAGACAGTTGTTTTTTAAACAATACTAATTGAAAACGCGTAAATAAACGCGTTGTTTTAACTGAAAGTTTCGAATCGATCTCATTCGTGATGCGTTTTGTAATTTTTTTTTATTTATGGCGTAATATTTGTAGTAATGTCGAATTATGTTTCTAATAAAAGTATAATTTCAGTTACGATGAAGACTCAAAAATGACAACTACAGACAGCTGCAGTTACAACACTCCGGGTTCAATCAATGGATGGCACAGCCCTGTTGAGGTCTCCACGTCTTTTCACAATGGCGCTATATCCAAGAATAATAGTTACTATCACAACGGATATCAGGAAAAAGAGAACTGTAACCATAGAAGTGAAAAAGACGAAGATAGATTCTCACGGTCGCCTAAAAATCTTAATCTAGCTAATGGTGTAAAAAATAACAATATAAGTAATGGAGTTATTAAAAAGAAAAATAAAGAAACTGCAAACGAAAAGGAAATGATGAATGGCCTTGATAAGAAAAGTGTGTATAGAAAATAGATTAATAATAGGTCGTTGTCATAAATAAATACAACAGGTAATACTAATTTTATATTTGAACTTTTTCAACAGGTGTTAATTCAAGCCCAACACACAATAACGTAAATAACTATGATGGTTCTCCAAAAAATAACAAGTTAGCTATGGCAAGTGCCGGACAGGGATCACCATTGAGATCACAGTTAGCTTTAAAACTAAAGTCGAATACACCAAAAAAATTGGCACCGACTCCAAGTCCAACTGTCCAAGTAAGTGCAAAAATTATATTATTTATGTTCTTTCATTAAAACACACAGGTAAAGTTCATCTACTGTATATAACTGGTAACATTTACGTGTTGGCTGTCAAAAATCTGAAGTAGTTGGCGGGAATTGAAATTTGAAAGTGTATACTTGTCATAATTTTTAAATTCACTAGTTGTTTTAGTACTTTAAATTCTAATGTTATGTTAAATATACTTATTACTTGAGCTTTACATTCGTTAAATTATTATAAGAATATATTTACTTACAGTGTCTTCTTTGTGATTTTACGTCATCATGTCCGCGGAAATTGGAAGAACATATAAACCGTGCACACTTCGATTTAACATCTCCTTCTGTTATGGGAAATGAAAATTCTTATGATAATTTAGATAATGCCACGTTAAGTCTAGCGAACCCTACATTAGGTCTTGCAAATCCTACAATAAACTTAGATAATCCTACGTTGGCGTTAAGTGCCATGGCGTTGTCACCTGGACCACATAGCTCGTCATTCCAGTGTCCTATTTGTGAGAAAGAATTTGCGAATGGCTCTGATGTGGAACTCCATGTGAATGTGGAACATCGGGACATCTTGAGTCCCCAAAAACCAGTTAGTATTTTATTTAAAAATCCGTTTCTGTTATTAAAATAATAGTTTGTTGTTGATTGCAACATTATAAATATGTGTTAATAACTTTATAATAAATATTGTCACTTTTGCTGATTAAAACTTAATTATCCCATCTATAAGGGTTCTTATCATTGACACATATTGTCTGGTTATTGTTTTTAATTTTAGCTAATTAGTTCACTTATATTTGCAATTTCAATCTTTTTTATTATAATATGTTGGGGAAGTCTAATATTACCGAAGAACAATATTTTCAGGAGCAAGTAGACAATGCATCTTGTGATGATGTGATTATGATGGAAGAGAGTCCTGTCAGCAACTGTCCAATATGTTGTCAGCCATTACCAGTCTCGCAGCATGAATTGGTAATTTTATCTATTAAAAATAATTAACCAACTAAGTGTAGAGTGAAATACTATAAGGCAGTGGAAAATATCTTTCTCAATCTTAGTTAAATTTGAGTAGGCATGTCTCACAAATAAAAATTTTGTATATTGCCTTGAGGAATTAAAACTGTACTGTAACCTGTACCAAACAAGTAAGCTGTACTTAGACATTTTTTGGATTTGTAACTTTGACTACTGCTATACATGCTAAGTTAAGAAATTAAATATTTTGCTTAAGATTCAGCACATAGAAGAACATTTTGAAAGAGGCGAAGACATGGGTGCTTCATCATTGTCTGAAGCTGAAAGAGAAGCTCAGAAGACTCGGGAAGAACAAGAGTTTCAGTTACTTAAGGTCTGTATATGACTTTATAATTATTATTGTTTTCATAAAAATAAGAAGATTTTTAGTAATAGGCTTACAATCTGTTTATATTATAGTGAAGCCTAGGAAAAACTCTTAATGTACTATTCGATCTAGCCAATTGTAATGATAGTTATTTTTGTTCTTAAGTGTTTAACCAGATATGGAATAACACCTTTTAACATAGAAAAATAGAGCAGGCACTTACCAAAATCACTCATTGTAGATTTGATTTTATCTAAGTATGTGATGCTTGAATTAAAAACAATAAATATGTATTGATTCTTCACTATAATTTAACGGTCTTACTAATAAAGAATTATGCACATCGTATAGGCCTGTTATAAGAAAAATGTTACTAATAATTCCTGAACTGACACGTTTGATGTATACGGCTGTTATAACAAGTGTCTGGTTTGTATGAAGACTTGTACAATGCTTATACAACGCCGAGGCCTAGTTTAACGGGTGTATAGGACATAAATTGCGTTATTTGATCTGATTTCGCGTTTGACAGCATTTTTTGACTGTTTAGTTCAAGGAAAGATTTAAGTTAGTAGGTATTTGTGTTTGTTGAAAATAGATTTTATAGATCAAATGGAAGATTTAGATAATATTGATATGCAGCTAATACATACGATTGAAGATTTGCCGCCTCCAAGGAAATTACTTTCGGATGGCGATTTCAAAACAAAATACCGCTTGTCAAAGAAGTATGTTATGAAGATCTGTGACAGTGCGAGCTGATGTCGAAAAGAGTAATAGAGGTGGATGGTTTTCGATTTAGGTGTCTTCTTCATGGCTTCTCAGTGTCTTTAGAAAATGCCAAATTATATATAGTAGCACTGGCAATCCTCCACAATATTGCTATTGATATGAAAGAAGACCTGGATGTTACGTATGATGACACTGAGAATGCTCCAGAAGAACCAAGGCCAACCTAGACGCCCCCCAAGCAATCAGGCTGGACAAGCTGCTAGAGCTGCTTTTATTGAAACATATTTTTAAAGCTGTTTTATTTACATAGGTGTGGATAGTTAGACGTGAAATAAATAAAAGTTATATTTCATTTAAAACAGGGGTTTTATTTCTTTTATAAGTATATAATTATTCATTTAATTGCTGCTGTAATAGTTTGAGCCTTAGAAGATGCTCCTGTCTAGACCATTTGTGAGCTTCGGCAAGTTGCTTCTGTTTGAGCTCATGTGTTTCAGCCATTTGCCTTAGTTTGGTTTCATGCTCTTCCTGCAAACACTGGAACACTGCCGTGTTGCGGAGTTTGGCACTTTCCACTATTTGAGATGCCTAAAAAATTTAAGTATGATCGTTGAGGGCTTTTGAATGAAATAGTCCTTTTCTCTATCACATTGATACTAACCTCTCCTAACTTTTGTACTGCAGAACGTGGCTTTTTATGTAAAATTCTAGTCCTCTTTGTCTGAATATAATTGTTTTGGTTGCTAAAATAAATACAACTTACATTAGAATTATGACTTCTATCAGAATTATTAAGTCAAACGTCAATCAAACACGGTGGGTTGCCAGGGTAACAATAAATAAGGGTCGTTTAGTTATTCAACCAATACACATCGATTATTGGTCAAAGAGGTGTTTATGCCCTGTACAAGCTCTATTCACTGAATAACTATCACCTTGTTATAACTCATGCATAGTGATTTTTTATTAGTAAGACCGTAAATGTTTGAGTCTAATTAAAAATACAATACAATATAAATTTGTCAATGCACAAATAACAAAGTTTTTATTCAATGTTTTTAATTTACAGCACATTAGTGTGGTTATAAATGGTTGGGTATTTTATCGATTTTGATATCTAGGAAATAAAAGTGTTACCTATACAATTACTCACCTAGGATTTAAAAATAATTTGAGGTTGCATATTTTTGGGAATTTAAATTTATATGAAATAATAAATATAAAGTTGTATATATTTTAGGCTCAATATGGTATGGAAGAAGATGAAGAAGGCTACAGTAGTCGAGCAGCTAGCAGTCTCAAGCGAGCGGTGTACAGTGGAGCCCTATCTGTAGCTGGCTATTATGAACGCAGTGTAGGCCTTCGTCGGGCCTCTGCTTCTGGCTTGGATACAGGGTGTTCTAAAACCAGTGGTAAATTAATTGTGTAGCAAAATTTTTATTTTAGCGGATGATTTTTGTTCATTTTGGTATTGTCTTTTTTAAACATTTAATCACAAATTCCAGAGATTATGTTAATTGTTTTTTTAACACCAGTGTATGAAAAGTAGATGATTTTTTTTATTATTTGAAACTAGCTGTGCCATGCGGATTTACCTGCATTGATTCGGTCATTGTATGTTATAATAGAGCTTCAATAAATGGTTTGCCTGCCTTTCAGTGCCAAAATAATTTTGCCACATTTTTTTTTTGGAAATGACACTGATAGTTCAGTATTATATCACTGCACTCTTAATGATGAATAGAGACAGATAAGGATTATACTAAACTGGTGTAGATCTATTTTTTACGTTTAGGAGATGGAGTTTATCATACATATTATAGTGTTATGAATATGTTATGCGAATTTTTGGGTGTATTTTGGATTTAAAACAAAAAATATACAGAATATACATATGTACTATGTGTTCTAGGAATATTGGAAAGGATAGTGCAACTAAACGCTCAGAACCCAAGTATTGTGAAGACATACCTTTGCAGTGCGGTGGACCACTACGCCAGTACTTATGGTGATAGGGGTTGGGGGTGTGGTTATAGGTGAGATTATTTATATATTTCTTTAAAAATAGGTGATATTTTATTGCTTATTTCTGTTTGAATAAAATTTCTATTCCTACGTAAGAGCTGGTGTCAAGTGCGTTGCCGGCCTATTGTCGAGAATTAGATTAGGTATAAACAATTGAACCATGGTCTTGACTGTGCAATAAATATAAACATAATAATTAATAGGATTAATTTTTGTAAGGGGCAGGGGGCAGCTGCCCCGATTTGCCCCTATCCCTCTTTGTCAGATCGTATCTATATCTTTCATAATATTTGGACTAATTTAACAGGAACATGCAAATGGTACTCTCGTCTCTCCTCCGTCACCCGCCCTTTGCGGCCCTGCTGAGCGGGGTCACGGAACGTGAGTGCGACTGCGTACCCTCTATACCCACTTTACAACGACTCGTCGAGAGGGCTTGGAGTCTCGGCTTCGATACCCAGGTTAGATATTATAAGATAATTTTAACACATAAGGCTATTGCGCTGATTTAAATATGTTAAGTCAACACTTTACAGGTATTTGTTTAACATTCTTGTAGCATGGTCATGTATTGTTGTGCATGGTCAGACAACTTTTTGCTCCTCGTAACGAATATACGGGTCGTTCTAGGAATGCCATAGGACTTCTTGGATCTTCGACCTAACAGTTTGTCTATATCTTTGGTATATATTTTTGGTAATCTTGCCATGTTGACCATGCTGTCACTAACCGTTTACGAATGATTATTTATTTCATATTAAGTGCTTGACCGCAATCGAATTGCAAACTTGTGACGTCATTACATTAAAAGCCTTCAACAGGGTTCCGAACAGTTGGGTTCGAAGCTGCACAACACGAGGAAATGGATTGGGGCTTGTGAAGTGGTCACTGTACTCTCGTCCCTCAGGATAAAGTAAGTCTTCCTTCACTGTAGTAAGAAATTCTAGAATCTGGAATCTCCACTAAGTTCCACTTTTGCAGTCACAAAAGCCTGGTCACCCACTTGGCCATTTGTATACAAAAAGCTAATATTTTAATTTAGCACCTTTTATACCTGACACGAGATATATTACGTCACTAAAGTCTGGTTATTAACAGTAGCTTCATTTTTCATCCCTGAGGTCGTAGGTTCAAACCCGTGCACCGTAAAGTGAAGGAAAACATCGTAAGGAAATGTCTCAAATCCAAAGACGACAGAAGGCTGATCACCTATTTGTATATGAAAGGCAACGCTTGCGAGCCCTGAAAAAAAAATTAAAGCCAACAGCGAACCCTCTGGCATTGAGAGTGTCCATGGGCGCCCATCACTGAACACCAGGTCGCCTCCTGTTCTATAAAAAAACGTGTTTGTACTTATGTACACGCGTTAGAAGTTTCATTGGCGTAACAATATAAAAATCTTTACAAATTTTTTATTCTATGTTTGTAGAAAAAACTAAAATGTTGCCTATAGCTAACTTCAGGGTGTCGGTTTTTTGTGACGGTGTGCGCGCGCATCGTAAATATTTACTCTCATCATTATTCCGTAACACACCAAAAAAAAGTATAACTTAAAAAAAATGTTTTCCAGGTGTTCACTAATAGACTTCCATAAGCCCACATCAGCTGACGGAAGCCACCCAGCCCTGTTCGAGTGGGTCCACAAGTACTTCCATGATGAACCACAAGCATTTAAGCCGCCTTTGTACTTACAGCATCAAGGTATTTTTTTTTTTTTTTAAATAAAACTTGGGCTAAATAAGTTGTCATAATATATCTGATTTTAATAAAATTAAGACAGAAGACATACGTGCATTTTCATTTAAATTTAGCATAATATATACTTATAACTATATAGAAAACTATATAGATCATCAAATAATAATTCACAAACAATTTATACTGACAACTTCCTTCTTTTTAGAGTCAGGTTAAAGTTCGTAAAATATTATTTATATCATGAAATTAAATATATTTTTCTATAATAATTCTAGGTCATTCGCGAACCATAATAGGCTATGAGAAACACAAGGACGGCAAGGCGACATTACTAGTGTTAGACCCATCGCATTCGCCTGCTCAGGTAAAAAAATAAATTTAAAAAACACAAAAAAATAAAATAATTTAGACACAAAAAAATTAAATAATTTAGGCAAAAAAAAAATAATTTACAATTTTAAAACTCAAAAAAACATATTTTAATAAAAAATGTAGAATAAAAAAATAAGAAGTATTTTTCTTTATAAAAGCTGTTTAACTGCAATTTTAACCCTACGAAATTACAGGTGCGTCAAGTAGTGTGCGGAAGTATGAGCGCATGCGCCGGTGCATTGAGATTATTAAGGCGTGGCTCCAGCGCACTTAGAGCTAGACAGTACCAGCTTTTGTGTGTCACCGGCCTTATTTCTGATGACCGGGAGTATGAGGTAGGGGAACAAAAATTCTAACTTTATCAAAATTTGTTTATCCATTTTGATGTCAGTCAAATGTGGCGTCAATTTTTAAATGGATATAAACGCGATTTTTATATTACGTGGCGTTAAAATGGCAACATTTAATCCTAATAATACATTGTTATCTGTCAATTTGACGTTTCTCAATGATTGTATAGTATATAAAACGAATACTCGAGTAAATTAAATATATAATAGCGGACCTGGCAAACGAAAGAAATTTTATATTCGAAAATTTCAGAAATTCTCGAATTATTGAACACAATTTCATCAAAATCAGTCCAGCCATTTAGTGACACACGCACAGAAGATTTATATAAAGATATATCTCAATACCAGCCGTTTACGAGTTACACGCACAGAAATAAGTTCAACTATGATTTAAACACGGAGCAGTGTGCGACTCTCATCCCTTAGGTATTAGATTCGATCCCCTGGTGTGGACCTGGATCGCATGTCTTAGACCCAAAAAGCTCTCGTACAACAGATACAGAAATCTGAGGCCCAGACCTAAAAAATGTGTTAGCGCCATTGATTTCTTTTATTTTAAAGATTCATATATATCCTTGATTAACTAACGACAGTTTATAAGGCTTATATATTTCCAGGCGAGTAAAGTACTTCAGTCGGTTCGTATACCGTAATCTACAGGTTGTCCCGCCCGATGTCTACAGGTTCAATAAAGTTAGATTATTAATATTTATTCACTAAATCACTTAAAATAATGTCGAATTATAAGTTCATTATGGTTTGTTGGAGCTTCAGTTATACAGGGTGTGCTCAAAGTGAATATAGTATGTAATTACGCAGGGTGTTTGTGAACTTTTTTAATTATTAAATTTAAATGTGTATTACGTGTTCTAATTGTTGAATGTTTTTTAATTATTTATTTTTTTGTGTTTGATGATTGCGTGTACAAAATTTTAAAAAATATTCTGTTAAATATTTTTTTAATTATTTCTTTTTGTGTTTGAAAATTAGGTGTTCATAATGTCAAAAAGATTTTGTTAAATATTTTTTAATTGTGTTTACATTTTACTAGCACAATTTTATGGTTTTCCTTGTAAATATTGTTTATATATCTTTCATTCTCATACGAACGTTAAAAACCATAAAATTGTAGTCACACCCTGTGTTAAGCATTTATAATTTAGTAATATTTTCTACCTCATATCCTTTGTCAATTATTTTAAGTCAATTCCATAGATATCAGAAATACCATAAAAATTGTTGCCATGATTCACAACTATACTATCAAATCAATTTGCGTACAAGATTTTATGACACAACACCAGAATGTATAAAAAATAATAGTCAGTAAAGTTTATGTCAAAAATATTTTTTAATATAAAAAATAGTTTTGACAGAATATAATCGGAAATTTTATGTCAGTATAAAATGACAGTGCGGTGTCATAAAAACCTTGTACAATATTATAATTTAATATTAAAAACCTTTTCAATATAATATAGTGAGTAATACAATAAATGCTTGTCATTGCCTTGAATAGATAGGTTTAGGTAAAGCACTGAGCTTTTTTTAATTATTTGCACTTAGTTCCTAAAGGAATTGACGGCTTGGAATTTACCCGAGAGGAAATAAAATTTCGTTTACGCAGCGTTTCCCAAGATTTTTGACCCATGCCCCACTTTTATAAAATTCTTGTCCCCAGCTATGATAATCCTTAAAATTAAAAATTGTTCCCTGATAAGTTTTAGAAATCAGAAATTAGAAATCACTACGAAATTGTTGACGGAATACAGTAAATAAATTTTCAAAATATATAACAAGAAAATCGTCGAGCTCATTTTCGAATAGCAATTAACAATTAAATTGCCCCCTGCGGGGCGTGGGCCCCACGTTGAAACACTGGTTTAACGCAAACTCAGAGCTGTTTCTGAACATTTTTCTATTTTATCGAAAATTTAAGAATGTTTTTATATATTTTGTTTTGAAGTGCCTAACAAAAGTATATATATTATGACAAAATCTCGGTGTAAAATGGAAGGTTGAAGGTGGATCAAATGAAATGGTGCCTATTTTACTATATTTAATGTTATTAAAGAATTCGTGACAATTTTTTTGTTTCCATATTAACTTCAATAAACTTATCGTAAACCCACGGATTGGGGCTAATAGTTAGATTCGCTACACAGAGATGTATAAAAAGAAAATATGAATAGAAAAATTGTCATGAATTTGAATCAAGCGCACCTTATTTTAATCTAGTCCTTACGCATACAATGCACTTATTACCTCGTTTTTTGCAATTTCGAATAAATAAATGAAATCTCCGAGAATTTCTCGCTTAGATTCCTGTTATACAGGTTTGGTGATACTTTTCGCTGAATTAATACTGGGTATAGAGACAGAACAGCCTTGCGATTCTGTAACTCATTTCTCGAACTCACACAGCGGTTTTCACAGCGGCGGTCGCGCTCCAATCAGTCGTAAAGCAGTCATTTTACGATTTGGCAGTGTGATAAACAATAAACTACAAGCCTCCTTATCAGAATGCCATATCATAAAATAACTGCTTCACGACTGATTTGAGCGCGACCGCCGCTGTGAAAACCGCTGTGTGAGTTACAGAATCGTAAGGCTGAACTGAAATAAGTTGCCCATACGGTGAAAGGAAACATCTTATAAATGCTTTCTGGTGTATATAAAATTGGGCTCAACCTGCTTAACAAACAGATAAAGAAAAGGAGAAAAAGAGGACTGATTTGGATTGACTTCCGGAAGGTTTATTTTGCCTCACCTTGAACTCGGAAAGCTGTAAAAACGCGTCATTCTGTCTCTTCCTTTTTTAATAAAACTTACTATGGTTGCGACATATCTTCAAGTTTAAACCAAAAATTATTTTTATGGCTTCGTTTTCGTTGTCTTTATACCCGGTATAGATATAAAGTTACTTTTTGGAGTGAAAAATGCTCCTTTAGGTAAGATTAGGTCAATTTAAAACTTTATTGAAGTAACATTGTTAACGTGCTATCAGCAAAAGCTTCTTAAATTATTACATTTTACAGAAAAATGTTGGGTTGGGTTCGATTCCCGGGAACCTTTCCTTTGAGATATTGAAAAAAATGGTTGCATTCCACTGGTTTCTGCAAAATTCATTTTAAAGTCGAACATCGCGAAATCGTTTGACAATTTGTGGTTAAGAGAAACTATGCAACCATTTTTTTCAATATCTGAAATCGCTGATAGTTCTTGTAAAATAGTTTTATTTGAACCCACCGATTGCTTTAAGCGATATATATGTTTAAATCACCTGAACTATGTAATAATTGTTGTGTAATTATAGCGTTGACCAAATTGTTTTAGTAAATTGTTAATTGTTTGTAGTCAATTGGCGTAAGGCACAGACACGATGTATATGGTGTGAAAATAAATGCTCATGCTTCAGTGTCTCTTAAATTTTAAACCAAACTAATACAAATTCTTATTTATTCTGTTTTATTTACGTAAATCTATTAAAACAGTATGGATTTAAAATAATCGTTAATGTCATGAATGACGTCAAAAAATAGGTTTCAGAAGTAAATATAATCTATGGCCCCATTTTGACATTTAGATAAAATTAACAGAAGCCATTGACTCTATTTTTATACATTACCTATGCAATTACAGTGCCACATACTTTTTTTGGCCGGTAAGCGCGTCGCTGTCATGGGTATTAGTATTGCCAGTAAATAAAAATTAACCATTACAAGGGGAAGAATTTGAAATCATGCAGGCTAACTTAATAATTTATTGAAATGTCTTAATAAAACAATGTACACTAGTATCTAGAAAACACAGTTCTAGGCTTAAATAAATGTGACACAAACTTAGGAACAACTAATATGATAGGTTTTGTTACCTGTAATATTAATAGTAATCAGAACAGATCGATAATTAAAATTTTGCCACTGTCATTAATAATGCAAGGAATAAAATTGGATTTTTATTAGAAGTTGGTAGATAGTAAAATTATTTATTGTACGCACCAAGAAATTACAGAAATAAAACATAAACATTTCAAAATGGCGTACGATAGTACCAATTTCAGCCGCCGGCCAAGAAAAGTATGTGGCACTAGAATACGAATTAATACACATGGGGTCATTTTTAAACGTCAATTTATCTGATTGTTGGCCTTTGCGAAATAGATATATCTTCATTTTCTAGACACGATAAGATTCTCATTTGCCTAAAATGGGTTTAAAGCAAAAAACCCATATTAACTGCAATTATTAATCGAAATATATTTTTTCATTTAACAATATAAGCGAATTGGTGCTTTTAAGCAGAAATGTAAAAATAATTAAGTTTTGATCACCATTAGACTATGCTTAGCAATGTCAATAATATGTATTGCACTCATGTGATATTTATGGATTCGCCATTTTGAATTGCATTTTGATATAGGGAAATTATTGTTATCATTAAAAATACGCGAATAGAAATATTGTTATCTATAATAAACGATCCGTTTTCTATAACTTGTCGTAATCAACCTATATCAAAATGTATTTTAAAACTATAAGGCTTCATTCGCAGAATTAATAATAGTACTCCTGTGATAGTTCAAGCGATGAGACACAAATCTGCTAGATGTTGCAGCTTTTGAAGTGATCGAGATGTGTTAACTTGCCTTGTGTAGGGAACGGTAGCTTCGTAGGAACAGCTAGGCTGTGCTAAACTGTTTATTCAATAAAGTATCATAAGTTATGTCTTGTTTTATTTTCTCCTTTTATTTCCAAACCAATTTGAAATAGACATGTGTTCGTACTATGTTTGTGTCATTTGCCTATCGACGTTTAGCCACTGGCAACACTGAGGACGTGCATTATTTTGTGTATAATAGGTGTAACTACCACTCACAACCTCGCTCGTCATATTCCCGTTTTAACGCCTATGGATCTTTTTCTGGCCTGTCTGTAACGGGATGTTATTTCTAGAGTTCCTCTGTATCATCTTAAGACATGCGTTATTTTTCTATTTAGTCGCAGCCCTGCACTCTACGTCGAACCAATTCTTCCTTCTTTCTTTGTCATATTGTTTCAGAGGCTGCGTTCCTCTCTACACATCGTTGCATTCGATGGAACCACTGCTTTTGGCTGTGGTCTCTTCTATGGCATTTTCGTACGCTTTCACCGCATCTTCAGGGCTCGTAAAGCGAATACCTCGAATTGTATCTTTAGTTCTTGGGAATAGATGAAAGTCGCAGGGCGCCAGGTCAGGACTGTATGGCGCATGACTCAATATCTCGACATCTGCCATAGTCAAATATTCAACAGTCCGTTTTGCGGAGTGCGCTGAAGCATTGTCGGTATGAAGGAGGATCCTGTTTCGAGAGCGCTGCTGTCGATTTTTTTCCAAGACAACAGGCAAACGGCGATTTACATACCAGTCTGCAGTAATTGTCCTTCCATCTTCTAGCACAACTGTCGCGAAATAACCTTTCCGACCAAATAATGAGGCAATCACCTTTTTTCCGAAAGGAAACACCCACTGAGCTTATTGTCTTTTGGTTTCGGGTTCGTAGCAATATATCCAGCTTTCATCACCTGTGACGATGTCTAATACAGCATTTGAGTCACCGCCGTTAAACTTATGTAAGATTGGGCTACACCAGTCCATGCGAAAGTGTTTCTGGTCGTCAGTTAAACTAAGGAGAATCCATCTGGTACGAAGCTTCCTGACGCCTAAATGTTCGAGTAATATTTTTGAACTCTTATCTTCCTCTATCATGCCTCGCACAGCACTGACGTTATCTTCAGTAGTCGCAGTTAAAGGATGTCCCTCACGCAGATCATCATTCAGATTGCTACGTCCACGCTTAAACTCGTTAAACCAATTGCAAATAGTGGCACGAGATGGGGCTTCATTAAGAAATACTAATCGCAGCCTATCATAGCTTTGTTGTTGAGTAAGCCCACAACGAGTCATAATAAGTGCGTTTTCCAATTACAGAGCATTATGCGACTCAGTGCCGCACAATGCCGCATAATGCTGAAGCTTAATTGGAACGTGAATTAGTTTTCAAATGCATCAGCAGAGTGCGCTAAGTCAGTGTTGAACAAAAAAAAATTTCTGAATAGAGTTAGCAACCTCATTAATGTATAAATAATGTGGTTAACAATAATAATTGGTTGAAAACTTTTTACGCTTATTTTAATAATCAAATTATTTCATTAACATTTTTTTACTGAAATAAGAGAAAACCTTTAAAGAATATAAGGTTTTAACAAGCTAAATTAACAGTAAAATATATAAAATTCAAAATTCAAAAATCATTTATTCACGTAGGTAACACAATGTACACTTGTGATTCGTCATTAAAGAAATAAATATTAATGCTTCTAATTTTACATTTACTGCCAGTTCTCAAATCAAGGGCGTAGAAAGGAAGAGAAGAACTGGCAATAAACTCTCCGCCACTCTTTTTAATCGCCATGTTTTTTTTTTTTTTTACACAACGTTTGTAAGGAGCTGCAACCATTACACCATGTTCCACATGACATTTTAAGTAATTAATAATAATAACATAAATAAAAACAAAGACTTGTCCCCTATCAGCAGGAGGCATGGTGAAATAGGAGCACGCACTTACATTCTCGTGGGAACAACACGCAAACACATAGTCGAAATAATTAACATCACCGCATACACGAATTCAAGTACGACCAGTCACCACAAGTAGCACCCGTTCACGAGTATGACGCATGGCCAGCCATCGGCCCCCTCGCCATATTTTAGGGAGAGAGACAACCCGACGCATGGACGCCGCCACAAGCAATGACATTTAAGCGAGCATGACGATCCTTGAAATGTGGACTTGGCTACATAAGAAAATAATAATAATACTGAAATAATAGGATACCACATGGATCACGGTTTGTTCCCACTTTACATTAAAACAGTCGTGGATGTTGACGATGGACGAAGAGTCTGGAAATGCAGCCGAGAGATTCAGTCGTGTTACCTATAATATATACTGGAGCAACTCATATCCAAGCACTAGGATCGTTTAAATATTCATTTATATTATAATAAGCCTTAGCAAGCAGTTTTACTTTAATGTACGATTTAAATTTATTTATTGACAACGCTTGTATCTCACTAGGGACTTTGTTGAAAAAACGTATACAATTGCCTTGGAAAGAATTACTCGTTTTATGCAGCCTTCTGGTTGGTGCGCTAATTTTGTCTTTATTACGAGTACTATAATTATGGAAGCTACTATTCTTTTTAAATATATCTATATTTTTCCGCACATACAAAATATTGTCATAAATGTATTGACTTGCCAGAGTCAAAATATGTAATTCCTTAAATTTGCTTCGGACCGACTCCCGTGGGGACAACCCACAGATCGCTCTTATAGCCCGCTTTTGCACTACAAATATCGATTTAATGTCAGCTGCATTACCCCACAAAATAACACCATATGACATAATACTATGAAAATAGCTGAAATAAACAAGCTTTGCTGTGTTCTCATCCGTAAGATGGCGTATCTTTTTTACTGCGAACGCTGCGGAACTTAGCCTATTCGAAAGACCTTCTATGTGTCGGCCCCACTGGAGTTTACTATCTAAAGTCATTCCCAAGAACACCGCATTATCAACAAAGTCTATTTCCTCGTCTTTAATTATTATTTGAGAATGACTACTTTTTACATTTGTAGTTACAAATTTAACACATTTTGTCTTCTTTTCGTTTAACTTAAGATTATTTGTATTAAACCAGTGAACTACACTGGAGATGGCACTGTTTACGTTATCAAGTGATGGATTTTGTCGTTTCACTTTAAATAAAAGCGAAGTGTCTATAGTTTCATGTAAGAAGTTTACATCATTTACGTTTTGAGTAATTTTTTTAAATGATTTCTAAAAAATTATATACTTTTTCAAAACCATTGCAATGTTTACAAAAGTATAATCCTGTAAAATAAATTTGTTTACAGATCCGATTTTTAAATAAAATTGTATTCTTATTTTAAATGTGGAATATAAAAAAAGTAACTATTTATACCTTCATCCATACTTATATTTATTTTTTTAGCAGTTTGAAATAACTTTAATTATTTTCAAAATCTACGACGAAACGAAAGCCTTAAAAATTTTTCAACAATAAATAATATTTAACGAAAATTTCGATAAATGCCACCTTAAAGAAAAACACTGGTCAATTTTCTGTCACTGTGTTGGTATTTATTGCGAGAGCATTCGTTTTGAGAGTGCTCAATTGTGCGAAGCGTTGCTGTAGTTGGAACATTCAACGTTGAGCATTATGCCGAATAATGCGCTCTAGTGCTGTAATTGGAAAACGCACTAAATCATTGACCGAAAATTCTCTCGCGTCAGGTTAATTTTCACGTGTAACAAGAGTTTTAGATTTGCCGCGAATTCATACCCACGTATGTTGACTGCAGGTAGTAGATCTTCCAGTCAATGAGTATATGATCTGTCCCACCATGCGGTATGGCCGTGTTTAGAAATGAAGCGAGGTTTAAAGGTCTATGGCCATTGTCATTACTCGTTATATGCAAAGTATCAATTCCGATTGTAATGGTTTATAGAACTTCTCTCTTCCCACTTGGGCGTTCATCTCAAAAGAAGATTTTGATATTTGGGAACTGGTGGTAGGCATTTTCAAGAGGTCCTTAGTTAGTTCATCTGCCTCTTTCATTGGTCCATGGGTGTTAATGATGCTGTAATTAAAGAATTTATCTTGCAGCACAGAACACATAAGCGATCACCTCAAATCAGATCAGATTTAAAGTTAGTTACTTTGGTTTGGTGGTACCATAAAAACTTTCCTAGCTTTTGCTGTCTCATGGGCATTGTAGTATACGGTAAAGTCTCTTTTTTGCATGCATGCATGTTGTCCATCTGAGAGCAGAGTCAGTATATCTGGTACATACGGTGTAATTTGTGCCGTGAGAATCCTTAATGCTCCAAAGTTTAAAGGCCAAACATTCCACGTGCGTAGGCGTAAAACATTTTTACTTTTGGTTTGGGCCTGCTGTTTCAGCTACTGCACCGCGAGAGTGGAATTCGTTTGAGAACGGTGTGAGCAGGTGTACCCGGGAGGTACAGCGTGGACAAGGACTCGCCACCGGGTGTAGTAAAAGCATTTCTTGGGATTTGGACAGGAAGCACTTCCCAGAGAGCAAGAAGTGAACCCACGGAGACCCTGCATCAGCTTTGACTATGCACAGATGTTGCTGTATAGTGTCAGTTGACCTGAACCCCACAAATAATAAATATCTATAGAAACGAAACGATATAGTTTTGCATGGAATATTTATTTATCAAAGAAACTGGAAGCAACGGGTGTTGTGTACTTTAAAGGTATATGTATATTATACATATATGTATATAAGGGTATATGTATGGCCAATACCAGTAATATGACTTATGTTTGACGTCAAAAATAACAACACGTAATTGTGTGAAAACTTTATTGAAAAAAAAAATACAAATACTTCATTGAGACTACAAGAGAATTCGCATTAAAATGCTTACAAATTTAGCTGAAGGTAAAGACATCGAAAAATTACTAAACTTAATCTAGCCATTTTAATATTATTTTACATACAAACGAAAGATTTTTGATCGTTATTGTATAGCTGATTCTTCAAAGTGGCGAATAAAGACCTTTATAAACTTTTTAATCTACACATTATACATGTTTAAATAATTAATGGTATTTTACCTACTTATAAAATACATACATTAATGCAAAATGAATTAAATATAAATTATAATTGTTTGCAATTGATTGTTAGCAAAAACATACGAAAATACTGATCGAAATTTAGGAACTTTAGCCATTAAATTCGAGGGAATATCATAGACTAAGCAAAACGCCATAGACAAACCTCTTTATCACAGTTGTTGAAATGCAAACGCAATGCATTCTTCATTGTAATAAAGTTAAGTGCGAAAAATGGCTTCCTCTTAATATCTATGTCTTACGTTAGACGAGACTTGTCTATGGTTTGGAGTCGATGTGGTCGGAACACAGATGATATAAAATATTATTTTCAAAGACAAAAAAAAGATACAAGGCGTAGAATGCACTTCAACAAAAAAATAATATATCACATAAATAATCCAATTGTTTCAAACGCAAATCGACTCCATTGATAACATGAATGGCTGTAGAATTCCTAAATACTTGAAATAGAAAAAAATAATTGATACTTATGAATACTTATCGAGTAAGTGGCCCCGCTGGTCCCGGAAATCGTACTCAAGCTAATCTGTCAATTTGTGACATTTGACAGCGCTCAAGACAGTGACTGAATTAACAGTGAATATAATTTTTATTTCATAATTTTTCAGAGCAATCATAATTTACTACGATTTATTCAGATTTATCAAACTTATAATTATATAAAAATTTAAAAGCCATGCATCTAGACGTAATCTAGGGATGACATTCAAAGTCTAGATTTAGCGATATGATTCCTGTATGACAGAAACGTATTAGATTTTACATACGAAAGTATACTAGGCGTTAAGAATTCTGAATTTTACGGTATATTTACAACAAATTTGGAACTGATTTTTTTGAACGTATTTTTCAATAAATCCTTTGGCTTACACATATTAAGGTCATAGCAGGAATAATTTGCAAGTAAGGGCCACTTACACTCCAACTTAAACTACTTGCCATTGAGTCGGGTTTCTCCAATCACGAGACAATCGAGTCCGTAACGCGCCGGGACGTTGATCGATATTGCCTATTTTAAGTGAAACTTCTTATTAATATACAAAATGTTTTAGTGAATTCTCGGTTTTAGACAAATAATGGAGGGTAGGTGAGCAAACGTGTAGGAGCTGTTGGCGCGCTGTCACTTTCTCTTTGACCGCCACGCCGTGCGGACGATGTTTTTAGTTTAACGAAATATTGTTTTTAGGTTATATAATTTTTTAAGTTGGTTACTTGTTTATAATATTCTAAATAAGTTATTTTGAGGAATTAAAAAAACAATATTTGTCTGTAAGAAGTCTCACTTATGTGCGCGGCAGACGCAAACAAGGAATTATTTTTACGAATGTAAAATTAATTTCTTGTACTTAAAATTAAAAGCAACGATTTCGATAAATCAGTCGGAATTTGTTATACCAGACCTATGTTGCAATATTTTTTTTTTTCGAATTAGTTTTTATACGATTTGGTAATGATAGTGAAGGTTCATCGCTACATTTTGATATTTATGGCGTTGACGCGTTTTTATAACTTTACAAAATATTTAAACCGGAATATTCAATATTCAAATCGATTAAGATTTTTTTCTTGGAAAAAAATAGTTTAATTAAAAATAAAAAGGGTTGTCTGTAAAGTCGGGTTACGAACGATAGTTTAACGTGACAACGTCATAACAAAACATTGATGAAATGATTGCATACTTTTATGAATGAAATAGATTCATTTTTATTGAATTATCACTATTTTGTATGGATACAAAAAAGTGAAATGAAATCTTAAATTTAAATGATAAATTTACTATTATTTGTGTGTTGCCGCTGTCGTTCTTCTCCTCGGACGCATAGGCCAATCGAGTGGAAGAGATAGATGCGGCGCAAGCGTACAATGAGCGTAATGGGACAATGAGTCATGATTTTTCGTGCGTGGAACCGGCGTTCATCGATTTAATAGACGTCACGTCAAAAATTTGACAACATAGGTCTGTAAAGCTACACTTAAAAGCCGCTAAAATGTACAGTGCCTTAAGGAAATTACCGAAGTATACCAATATGGTAAGTAAGCGACGTTACGATTAACAAACACATAGGTTTATCTGTATGTGCAATTAGGAATGTCTATTAATTTGAGTTTTATAATCTGTGTTGAGTCAATTGTCATAAATGTCAAATGTGAAAATTAGACAGTTATGGCGTATCTGTTACAACTGAGACTCGTATACATCAGTTTAATTTGTGTTGATTGAAATGTCAAGTTTGACACATGAGGCATGATTTGAGATTGAGTCATGTAAAGGCCTGAACCAATTTGAATGAATTTGGATAATGTTGTAATAATTAAATGTGTAAAACCTGTATGCCGGCAATCGTAACATATTGGAACTAGATTATACATGAAATTTGATAAATAAATAATTTCACTAAACTTTTGTCTTGTTTGTACATAACAGATATTCGAGTTATCCTACGAAAATGACGCTTAACTTGACAGCATATGTTTGAACAATCGTTCTGAAAATAACTAGTTTTGGAATTTATTTAATCTGTGGTTTATTTAATATTACATATCAAAATGTATTAACAGTTTTTATTGGATTCAAGTTAAGCAACCATTTTAATTAATAAACAATCAAAGATATAGCAATATTTAAATTCTTTACCTATGGAGTCTAACAACTTTTTTTAATCGGCCATTTTGTAACACAAATTTGGAATCTACATCTACCATAAATAAAAAATAAAAATACTGCTATAATCTATGACCCATAGATTTCATAGACTATATTCATTAGCTAGGAGCCAGAGACTACAGTATAAATATTTATTAGCTGACGTTAGTGCGTAAGCCATACAATTATAGTCTACGATCTCTACTGTCTATGGACTATTTAGGCTTTTTGCTCATTGAGCGGTTGTTCCTCACGCTTATTGTTGTCGCTAGGTGGCGAGTTCCACGGTTGAAGTTCCCCTGACCCAAGGAAAGTGAACACTAAAGCCCCGAAAATATACGTCCCAGATAATATGAAGAATACTATTTGCCATTGGGAGTATGTGTTCTGAAAAATAAATATTTTCTATTAATTTTGTATTTTTTTGCGTTATTATAAATTATAGACATATTCGGTAGTGGGCCAATTAATTTAAAAAAAACATTGTTAAGTGCCTATATGATACCTCATAATCCACAAAGATAAGCAAAAACTGGTAAGATCTGTAAGAGTACTATTTTTTTTTCCGGATAAGCAAAAAAGCTGGGCAGCAGAGCAGACGAAAAATAATACGAGTGGAAGAGACCCTTTGGAGTAGAGACTCTGGCCGTGGGATTCAAGTGCACAGGCTAGGTTATTGAAGATTTAAGTTGGCGCCTGGTACATAGTACCGGTGACCCCAGAGCTGGTGCTTTCCTCGCTCAACGAATAAGTATCGCAATACAGCGAGGAAACGCCAGCGTTAAAGGTATACTGCCACAAGGACCAAACGTTTTTAATTTGTTTTAATTGTCTTTTTAATTTAAGAAAATTGTAAATACTGTATATTTGATTGTTATATTTAAGTTTTAATAAACAATTATAATTTTAGTAAATATAGCTAGTAAGTAGTAACTTATACTGAAGATATAGCATTATGTATTATGTGGTGAACTTTAATAAATTAAGTATTGTCAGAGCACACTTTAATTTTAGTTTTTTCAAAATTGCAAAGACACTTTTCAGTATGAATTTTACATGGTTTTTACTTAAGATTTTCCATTTTGGTTAAAAAAATAATAGAACTTACCTCGTGCTTAGTAAGTTCTCCAACCATGAAAGTCGAAAGCCAGCCGCCAATAGAAGACAACGTGTTGGCAATACCAAATATGGTCCCTGGAAATCACATGGAGAATTTTAAATTTAAATATGTGTTGGCCTAGTGGCTTCAGCGTGCGACTCTCATCCCTGCCTGTGTGTGTGTCAGGCACTGGAGGCTGACCACCTACTAGCCTATTATATTGGCAAATGATCATGAAACAAGTACAGAAATCTGAGGTCCAGAGCTAAAAAGGTTGTAGCGCCACTGATTATTTATAATGTATGCACTATGCACGTATACTTAACGCCACTTACCACTGAAGTTAGGCGCAATATCCAGCCCGTTCCCAAGGTAACCAGCAGTGACAGCTCCGTTGATTGTCAACGCCAGTGTGAAGATAGCAATGGACCAGATGCGATCGTGACCGAAGAACGCTTGCGCAATCATAAGTATACCTGAAATGCCAGTTATCATGAGGAATTTCTCTTTTGTGTTGTTTCCCCCAGTCTGATGCATAACCCTTGTTTGTAACTGGTCAAAATTTCTCCCAATGGTAGAACACGCGACAATTTTTTTCATATAATAGGGGGCAATCTTTAGTGGGTGCGTTGCCGGTCTTTGAGGGAGGAGTACACTAAACTTTGAATGACTAATACCCACCGGGAGTAGATTCCACAGTTCGCTAATTCACAAAAGAAAATGCCTTATGAAACAGACTGTGGAAGACTTCCAGCCGTCAAGGAGATGTTGATGAAATTTTGATACGTCGCGTATGGTGTTGAAACTAGGCAGAAGGGATCAATCCAGACAATAATAGTACGCTTTGTAGAAAGATACAGCCATGACGTCACATCGCAATTCAAGTGAAAAATTCTTTTGTTAAATTTACCCCTCTGCCTTTCGTAGGCATAATTGCAGTTAGTGAAATATTCATTCTTTTACACTACACAAAATACAGCAGTGTTAGCCTCAGCGTGTGACTCTCATATCTGAATTCTGAGGTCGTAGGTTCGATCCCCGATGAATCAATGTACTATATGCGCATTTAACATTCGCTCGAACGGTGAAGGAAAACATCGTGAGGAAACCGGCTTGCCTTAGACACAAAATGTCGACGGCGTGCGTCATGCACAGAAGGCTGATCACCTACTTGCCTATTAGATTGACAAATAATTATGAAACAGATTCAGAAATGAGGCCCAGACCTAAAAAGGTTGTAGTGCCACTCATTACTTTTTTAAACATATTACCGTATTTCACTAAGCTGTGCTCTATAGAATTTATTGTATGTTAGTTCGTAGTGTCTTCGATTAATGAATCACAAAAATAATTGTTCAATTCGTACCGAGTTCCTTAATATGGACTATTACATTAATATTACAGTCTAGACACATATTAACTAAATTACCTGGTAAGCCCACAGCCAAAGCAGTAAAGAGTTTCCTGGCTGTTGTCGTAGACAGACTACCACTGCGGCGTAGCGAATCAGCCAACACTGATGACGCCAAGGCGCACAGGTATTTACCCAGATACGGCAAAGAAGAGAGGAGGCCATTCTGAAAAGATTAAATATACATTTAAAAAAAAATGTATTATGGAATATAAGATACAGGTATCACTTATTCCACGTCATTAAATTGTTACGGTAGACATCCCTACTCATCGGCAAAGAAGATAGAGGGTGTAGGCCGAGAGAAATAGCCGATATGGAAGAGACTGCTCACGACCTGAGCGATCCTAGTGGGGGGGGTTGCAGTTGTAGTAAAGTTTGTTTTTGCCCTTTAATTTTGAGAATATATATTACTACTTGATTGACGTAGACTTTCTAAGCGCAGAGGCAAAATTTACTGTAGTCGGGTTTAAAGGCACCACCGCGAGGTGAAGAGTCGAGAAAACTTTTATTTAATTTAAACTATAGAATGTTAATATACTGGAAGATATCGCTTGAAAGCGATAAAGGTTAATTGCTCTCCTATTAAGTGTTCTCATTGTATTGGTTTGTAAAAAAAATAAATAAACTTGGTACAAATAAAAAATTGCTAAAACAGTTCACAAAATTAGTTAAACGTCAGATTGGATAGTTCCTATATTATAATCCAATAAAGTATATATACAAAATAGCTTAAGGAACATGTTTTGAAAGTTTAAATTTAACTCAGTTATCAGTCTATAAATAGGCTAGGCTACAAGAAAATGCGTGGAATCCCGACCGGCGCCGTATTACGGCTAGTTTTTTTTATTGGAACTGCTGTTCGTTAACCCTGTCGTAAACTATTAAGCTTGTAGAAAAGAAGTTTATCAGCACGTTACCACGCAACTTCATTAGACATAGACATAACATTTATTACGAACAAAAACATTCACAAATATAACAAATATATACATAATACAAAAATATATAAGAAAAAAAAAAGTTTTTTTTTCCTTTTCCCTGAAAGAACAAGGTTTGTATCAAGTGTGTAATGCGTGTGTGCTGTGGTTGTAATTGGCCCTGGATCATTATGCTGAGGAGCAGACTGTTTCACAGCGCTGGTCATTCTGCCATTATGAAAAGGGTTGCTCGATAGACGAAAAATATGGCACAGAGCGCCCCACGCTTTTTCACAATAATACCAGTATTTTTTGTTCATTACCATTTTCAGCCTAAATTAGGAATTATTTTTCACTTTTTAGTTTGATGTGCTTTAAAAGCGTGTTTTTTAGTTTTTTAAACTATTATTTCTTTTTTAGTTCATTTTTTTTATTTTTTTTTTTCATTTTTTTTTTCGGATTATTGCATTGTCATCCATCTTTGACAGGTGCGCAAAGTTTGAATTAAATCTGTCCGTTAAAAGTGGGTCAAAATCGAGTCCGAAGGAGTCGGTTACATACATACATACATACCTACAGGTGAAGCTAATATCTACACGCGTTAGAATTTATACTTTGGCTTAACAAAATAAAAATCTTTTCAAAAAATTTATCTTTCGCCTTATTCTACGTTTGTAGAGACACGAAAAAATTTAGTCTCATCATTTTTCCCTAACGCGCCAAAAGAAGTATAACTTCAAAAAAACTAAAATGTTGACAATAGCGACAGGTGTCGGTTTTTTGTGACGGTGTGCCCGCGCATCGTAAAAATTTACTCTCATCATTTTTCACTAACGCACAAAAAGAATTATAACTTTAAAAACTAAATATAGCTACTGTTTTGCCGTTATTTTATGTTGTATTGCTTTGACAAACAGAAATCGAATCATTTAACGTGAAATCTCAAAACTACTAACGACCTGCTCTATTATCACCGAGTATGTTTCCAAAATATCCAGCCGTAGGAGTCCAGGTCTGTCAGGACCGTATTAAACTTAATTGTTTGAAGTAGGAGTAGTAAAACAAGTTTGATGGATGGTGAATCACTTGGCGCCAGGCTACGTAAACTATACAGTATACAGCGTGTGGGTCAGACTTCAGTGTAAAAATAGTTTTATCACTGTGTGAGACCTCTTTGGTACAATTCGTTCAAAAAAGCGTTTTAGTTTGTCGTTGGCGGTATTTAGTATATCTATATGCTATTTTTAGCAAAATAGCATTTGTAACACCTGAATTTGGATGTGCTGCGCAGTAGGAGAGTTGTAGATCAGAGAAATTCAGGAGGAAAAATGAGACGATAAGCAATAAAGTTGAAAAAGAATGTTGCAAAAAGAACCAATAAGTCCATTCTCGACGAACTAAAAGATCACCACAAGACTGTCAAATATCATGTACAAATAAATAATAAATCCATCAACTAAATATGAACTTTCTTTTGAGACACCTTGTATATGAAATAAGTTTTAAAGGTAACTAGTATGATTAAGTATTACTTATTTCTGTTAACATCTTGACTTATATTTTCTTCCTATAATTTGTTAGGGCTTTCTTTTTATGTGCATTTAACATTAGTTCGAACGGTGATTCCATCATCGTGAGGAAACCGAGATGTATTAGACCCAAAAAGTCGATGGCTTGTGTCAGGCACAGGAGGCTGCCTACTTGCCTATTAGATTGACAAACGATGATGATGTACATGATTTAGAAATCTGAGGGCCAGACCTAAAGAGGATGTAGCGCTACTGATTTCTTTTTATTTATAATTGGTTCGGTGTTGTACCTCTCATAGCCATACATTGGACAACCTAACTCCACGTTTTTAGTGCTTTTAAACAGGTCTGAGATTCTTAATTAAGTTAATAACCTTTTCCTTACTTCTTAAACATATTATATATAACAAAAAGCAGGAAATAATTTAGTCACGTCCAATCGTTTTAACAGGTTTTTTTCTGTCAATCAACATAAATCAACTAGTCTAAGTTGTTTTATTGTATTAATAAATATCGTTTAATAACTATAAATACAACATAGTTTTTACATTTTTATTCATACTTTATTGGTATGTTATTTCAAGCTGGCGGCTTCAACACATTTACACTTTGTGCTTGTGTAGTGTCTGTGAATAAGCGCGAGGCGTGATGTCAAACTGAAATACAATCACAAATACATCATGAAAAGACTGTCCGTCTCTCTCGGGCTCGCTCAAGCTTATGAGTATAAAAGAGACAGTTATTGTTTTGCTTTTGCTACTGTTTATGTTGATCTTTACTATACATGTTGATCTTTTTTTAAACATTACCAGGGCAATCTCGTGAAATGGTGCACAATGTTTTTAATTATTTTAAGCATCTTAATAAAAACAGTTTAATGAAAAAATGTTATATTTCATTTGACATCAGATGCTGAAAGCTGAAAGCTGATTTGTTTTTTTTTTGATTTGTTGAAAGCTGGGTTCACCACCATACTCCTGAATCAAAGCAACAGTCCAAACAATGGAAAATATCTGGATCACCTACTCCGAAAACGGCTAAGGTCGTTTTGTCGACCAACAAAGTCATGGCTAGATGGAGCGTATGTCGAAAAATGAAAAATTATTTACACGAACTACTCTTTCACGTTCTTGGTCTTGAAAAGGGCTTGAAAGGGGGTAAAGTTTCTATGGAGATTCGAGATAAGTTTTTGACGATGACGGTATCTCAAAAACTTAAAATGCTGCCTTACTATAACCATGCGGAAGACGCAAAAGCTAATTGAATATGAATAATACTAAATAATACACCATGTATACTTAAAGCATTAGAAAGTCTTTGATAACTTAATAAACTAGATATGTTAAACAGTAATTATCTACTATTGCTATTAATAAGCGTGTGAATTGTCAATTATAATCTTAACTTAAGTAACGTATATAATTAGTTATATACTTGTGATCAATGTATTAACTTATAAAGAAAAAAATTGTAATAAAATAAAAAATTATGGAATTAACTATTAAGTTTGTAATTGAAGAGCTGAGAACCCTGACAGGTATTTTTTACTTTTAATTCAATTCTAACTCAATTTTTTATTTTTTATTAAATCTCAATATAATGTTTTGCAAAACAATTACTATCTAGTAACGTATACGTATTTTTGTAAGGAATAAACCCAACAACTACTGGGCCGTATTTAAATCTTTTTATATATAAAATATTTTTAATAAAATACTACACACTACTATACAAATACTACTTAGAGGACATTTCTGTGGTGACTACATCACCCAGTGATGCCTTGACGGTTTTCCTCCCAAATTTTGGGGCATTCAATAAATAAATAAATAAATGTCTATAGGGTTTTTAGGGTACATTTGTTTAGGGGGCTTTTTGAAGTTATACTTCTTTAGGCGCGTTATGAAAAATTTATGAGAGTGAAATTTTACAATGCGCGCGCACCCGTGACACAAAATTAGGAGTGTGATTATAGCGTGCGCGAGCGAGATAGGAATAAGACAATCTACAAGTAAAAAGAAATAGAATATGCGTGAAGTTCGTATGCCAACAATTTTGAATGACCATAATGACATTTGTCATTTACCTTTTAAACAAATAAAGGAGTTTTAATTATTTTTTCAAAGAAATTTAGCGATGCTTTTTGAATTATAATCAGAAGTGATTTAAATTGAATATTTAAACCAATACTAATTAAGATTTGTGAAAAAACTGTGCTCATCAACCTTCCTAAGTGCTTCAATACAATTGAGGTTAACTATCCGTATGTATTATTATTATTATCGAGTAATGTTTTGATTAAAAAATTAACCACATTGTTTAATCAAAACATGTAATTTTTCTGATTTTATCTAGCAAATATAAGGAAAAGAGACAAAAAACAATTGATGAATCAGTGTAACTGCACTAAATTTAATACAAAAAAAGAGTTTTCATCTTATCGCTGTGAAACATCAAAAACTGGAGGTGGAACAAAGCCAAACTATTTTTAATATTGCCAAAGAAGTATAACTTCTTACGCGCGTACATAAGTACACGGACCCTTTTTTTAACTATAGAACTTATATTAAGCCTAGAACCCAACCAATAAACTAAACCAAATACTCCAAGCGGCTATAAATGAAATATCAAAAAGCTATAATACTCCAAGATCAAAATTGTATACCACTTGAATGTATTTTTGATGCATATTTGAAATTACCTCTCAACAATAACTT